ACAACGTCTCATGCTTACGTCACAATACGATGAATTCTGATTTGTTTTCGATTTTGTTCTTCTTGTTCGCAATTGGCATTCGCTTTTGCAGCGTGTCACGCCTACATCACGCTGCTAACGAACAGAAAGGAATTTGGTGAAGTTTATTGTGTTAGAAGACTTATTTAGTTTGTAATAATGACCATCAGATGCAAGATGTGTTGTTCGGTGCCTCAGTGTAATCAATATATAAAAGTACGAATTTATCAATACACAGCTTCTCCGCAGTTGCAAAATTATGCATTGTGGAGAACATTTCAAAAATTGGGAAACCTATTTCCAATTATATGTCTGTGTGTAGTAAGCACTACTCAGAAACCGATTAAGAAGGTAATTTCATATCAAGAAAATATTTCTATGTTCAATCTATTTTTAATGCATTTTTTCATTCAAGGGAAATGGAATCCTAATGCAAAAGTTCATTTTGACAAAAGGCTCCAGAAAAGTACCTCGAAAATGTTTTTTTTACAGTGATTTAATGTGCGCAAGACGCGTTGAAAATGTTTTGTTGTGTCCATGAAAAGGCTTTGAAAAGAACTAGGAAGAAGGTAGTTTCGTGACATATCAAGGACATCTCGATAATTGCCGCCTGCGGCGGACATTGGCTGTTCTATAATAGTTCTATTCATGTGTGAACAGAACATCGCAGTGGAGGTTCAATGTCTCGAAATCTCGTACTTTTAACATCTCTGAGATGTTTTTGTGCTCGCTGGGCTGTTCTTGTAGTTCTTGTGAATACTTCTTTTGGCAAAGAATTAATTCCATGTGAGCTAGGGTCGTTTGTCCGCATGTTTGATTCCTGCCACAGGCAGGAGAAAATGAAAGATGTTGTTTTCCATCTCGGAATTTCGAATCATTGGTAATAATAATCTACCCAGTTTTTTTCACAACTCTCTACTCGAAATATACGGGCAAAATTGACTACAGTTTTTCAATACCATTGCCTTGGATATATCGAGTATCAGAAGTGTAAAAAAAAGAGCAATTTTCAGAAAATTTAGCACTTCGTAAAGGAAAACATCCGGGTTTCGCGAATATGTTTAACGATTAATTAATACACTTCGATAGTGAATAATGTTTATTATCAATGAATCACTTATTAGTTTACGAAAAACTGTAACAAACTACATCGACTATAGTATAGGTACTCGTGTAACGTTTACAAATTCTCGATGCATGTTTATACAACATCGTTACTCAATCTACAAGTTTTTAAAATATTATTAATTGAAACAGTAGCATACAGAAATCAGGATTCTAAAATAGTACACAGAATAAATAGCCAAACTGTCTTGAGAAGACCAACTTATTTTTCCTTCTCTCCACTGCCATACCTTTCCCTTTCGGGTGTTATTATTGGGTTATCTTTATTTCCACAGTGCGACAGTACATTATAGCAAATTATAGGTGCTATAACCGTAAATCACAAGATGTGTAGAAAAAAATCGTTTTAGAATGGTAGTTCAGAGTTGTCGTAGAAAAAAAAATTGGGTTGCAATCTTTATTTTCCTTTCAGTTTTGGACTCAGGAAGGCAATAACATTATGAAAACAGCAACAAATCCTAGGGATATGAAGAATATTGATATTAAAAGGAACATTCTCAGATATATTTATGAACACAAAAAACTGGATATATACAGGGTGACCCAGGGTTAAACCGCCAAACGTGTAGAATCAGAATTTTATGCAAAAAAAAAATACTTTTTTTTACTATAAGCATGTGTCCTAAATGAAAAACAAATGTTTTCTAAAAACTTTGATACCCCATATCTCTGAAATTAAGCAAGTTAGGACACAGGCTTATAGGAAGAAAAAGTCTTATTTTAGTCTAAAAAACTGATCCTAATCGTTTGGCGGTTTAACCCTGGGTCACCCTGTATATATAAAGAAATACATTAAGAATTTGCATTCTCCATGTGATGAAAATATCAATTCTTTCTCGGTTTATTCAACAGAAAACAGCTACTTTCCTGGCTATATGCCACGACGAATATTCAATCACCTCTATTGAACACGCACGATAAGAATATTGATATTGAAAACTGAAAAGTAATTCGTTGATTTCTGTCTACAACATTATGGATCTAGAACTTTTGTGCTACGACGCAACTGAGCGACTTATGAATTAGGTTTTCTGGCAATCTTGCCATGTAACCCTACTTTTTGCCTCTTCATAGTCATTCTCTTCAATTTACCGGTGATCATGTGACATCCGTACATCTAAAACATGACTCCCCTTGTGGAATTTCATTTCCAGAAGTGGCTTTCTTGGAAGTGTTGAATGAATTCTGGCTGGACTGGATTTCATTGATTCAACTGGAAATGGAAGTATGATTATTTTTCAGATCAATCAAATTCTGCTGGGTATCCTGTATGGATTCACCAGGTTTCTGATGCCTTCTATTGAATTTGAAGGGTTCAATGATTTTGTTTGGCTGGGGATTATAGCGATTCTTCAGTAAATCCCCAATACCCTCATAGGTCAAATCCTCGATTGGCTTTGGAGCTGCAATGGATCTTATGGTCATGAATACACTTTTCCCACAGGTGGAGAGCAATATAGCTTTCTTTGTTGACGATTCCCTGATCTCGTTGGCTTCAAAATAATATTGTAATTGCTCTTAGTAGATATCCCAAGTGTCGGATTCGGGAACGAATTCGCGCACTTTGCCGTACGTATTTCGGATGACAGTACTGGAATTGGTTGAGATGCTGGTTTCTAATGAGATCGGCATATCAAATTCTTCTAGATTTATTTTTACTTCTTTTTCCTCATCGCCAATTTGTTTTGTCTGGATTATTAGATATCTCTGAACTATTCAATAAACTGGATATAAAATTATTCTGTATTTTTTTGACAGTTCAAAATTCACTTTCCATAACATATGAACATATCAAAAAATCTTCCTCCTATTAATCCCTACTTGGGATAGAGTGAAAATCTCCTTTTCAACCTAGAGCAACGTTAAATTCAGTTAATTCATGTTCGCAAACAGCTGAATAGAACGATGACGACAAGGAACTTGAAAGCAAAGCCGCCTACGTTCAAGACAGATAAATCTTGAAATTCTTGACTAACGCCCGCGAGGCGGAAGTCGATCCAGACGTATTTCCAATAATCCGGAGATTTGTTTATCCGGTAGGTGCGCGTCAATCGATCGATTTGTCGGAGACATTTCTGGGTCAAGGTCGTTGCTGACATTTCAGCGGTATCCGACAAATTTCGAGCATAAAACCATCAATTACCGTTATTACTGGGAAATTTTCCCTACTCGAGTACATCCGGACGAGTAGGCGTTTTTCTAGTGGGATTTGGAGTTTTTTTGGCAGTTCAAGGAAAGAGATAAGCCTTGCTATTATGAATTCATGTTCAAGTAGCGACCATAATCAATTGAAGGGTTTGGTACAAAAACCTACTGCCATGAGCCATATTCAACGAAAATCATATTTTGAAATTTTTTGAGCAATAAAATGCTGCTACAACGTTTAGTGCGATAGGTGGCAGTTCTAAATACGATATTCGATCACAAACCCTCCTATTGCCCCAAACGAATTGGCGATTCAAAGATATGTTTTAGTATGTTTGGGGCAAAAATGTGTTTCACAATTTTCACTCTGGAATATGATCCATTTCACTGTTTAGATGATAGTGATCAGGATCCCGATTTCGACTAGAAGCCAGGAAGTAGTGGACAAAAATACCATTAAGTAATTATGTACCTATCACATATTGCCGCTGATGAAATCTTATCAAGTAGTGATAGAGAACAACAAGTGACGTACCTACGTAGTTTTTAAAAGGTATCAGATTAGTATAGATGTAGTTTTCATTAGGTATTAGATTAGTATAGAGGTCAGATAATTTATACGACACTATAAAAGCAGATGATATTTTATCATTGCTCATGTAAGATGGAAGTAGAGGCCATGGCACCATATCATGAGCAAATTTTTATATTGTAACTATCATTGGGCACCAAAGATGTGTATACGACGCTATGAAAGTTCAGAGAACTGGAGATTTTTCCCACAAACTACGTACTTAGCCCACTCGACTGTATTGGTTTTTCCACACAAACTACGTACCTAGCCCACTCGACTGCCAATAGGGACTAAAAAAAAACAAAAACAAAAGAATGTTAAAACAATGCCAACATATTTCTTCTTTGTGGGAAATCAAGACAGTCGAGTGAGCTAGGTACGTAGTATATGGGCAAAAAATTAAGACAGTCGAGTGAACTAGGTACCTAGTTTATGAGGAAAAAATCAAGACAGTCGAGTGTGATTTTTTTTACTTTCTTTTGTTTTTTGTTTTGTTTTCTATTGGCAAGTGATTATCTAGGAACTTGTAATTTTTTTAGTTTTTTCATCGTATCTCCCGAACTATCGAATTCAGAGAAAAATGTTATACGGATTTTTTGTAGATTCTACAATAACTCTAAGAAATCCAAATTCGATTGAATTTTCATGAAGCCTGAAGCAAAATAATAATAATCGTTTATACGAGATTAGCACATTCACTCCATAACAAATTGCAAAGAAATGAGTGTATCTACTGGACTATTTGTTCGATTTCGATGTTCGAGTACTCATTCTCTTCAGAAATGAATGGCCTAAGATGACATCGGTACAGGTTTTTCTCTTTCTCTCCAGCGGTTTTTGTAAATGACAATACTTTGGTCGAACCCGCCATTTTGTTTTTGTTCATTATGAAATTTTCAAATATTCCACTGTATACTATAGACCTTCAGCTATGAAAGGACGCCAAGAAATTCGAATTCGGTTGAGAAATGATGAAACCACGAGGAAAATAAAAAACTTCCGGTTTTTTTGTGACCACCCGATATATCAATTTTTTTGTGTTCGTAAATATATCTGAGAATATTCCTCTTCAATACTCTGAGAACACTCTCAAACCTCCCGTTCCTCTTTTGTTGCAGGCACGTATCAGGGCCAATGGATGCGCGGCATGCGCCACGGCTACGGTATTCGCAAGAGCGCCCCCTTCGGCAAGGCGTCCAAGTACCGAGCCAACCGCACGTTGCGCGCCTCGCTCACCTCGCTACGCAGCGACGAACCGAGCGGCGCAGGCGCGAATGCCGAGCTAGCCGACAAGCGGGATCGGCGCGTCGACGATTCCCGAGGCGGGTTCGTGCTGAAGGTGAGCTCGGCGGAGCCCACGGCTAGGAGAAGGTCGCTGGGATCGGGGAACGTCGTGAAAAAGGGCCTTTTCACTGTGAGTACCTACTAACCATGGTGGAAATATAATATGGTGTGCTACTCACTCATCTTGAATTGAATAACGTCATTGCGAGACAAGAATCTGTTGATTTTGCATGACACATATATCTCAGAGCTCTCTTTTGTAACATAAAACTCCTTTGAAATAATTGATTACTACAGCTTTCCCAGAACGCTATTCCATATCTCAAGTGGGACTGAAGTAGGGCGAAGTATTTCTTTCTGGCAGATGCATACTCTAATTCAGAGGCATTGTTCTGATGGCATAGCATCCAGATGCTAGCATTTTTAACTTGTTATCGATATACAAACCTGAAAATCTTGTTGATGATTCATTTTCTAATATGTCATTACCGATTTCCAAGTTTGGGACATTACAATGAAAAGTCAGAATATTGGTTTTCTCAATGTAGAGAGAAAGTAGGTTTGAGTCACATCAATCTTTGATTACTTTTATATCTCGTATCACATTGGTGTATAATATCTCATCATTATTATCTTGCCATAGAATAGTGGTGTCGTCTGCAAATAACGTGATTTCGCTTTTTATATCAAGAAATACCATATCATTAATATATAAAAGGAATAATATTGGCCCTAGGACTGATCCTTAAGGCACACCATGATTTATCTGCGCGGCCGCTGAGGTAGTGTTTGTTTTAACAACTTGTTGACGACCGGTCAGGTTGGTCTTGAACCATTGGAGCTTATTGTCTGTGAAGCTGTAGTGGTGCAGCTTCCGCAGTAGTGTTTCGTGATTTACGCAGTCGAATGCTTTGGAAAAATCACAGAATACTGCCGCAGCAGCTGCTCCCCTGTTTAGGCTAGAATATACCTTGTCCATAAAAGAAAATATACCATCATTTGTGCTATTTTTTGGCTGGAACCCAAATAGTTGATCTGTGAGTATATTATTCGCAGTTAAATACCCCAACATTCGGATTTTAACCAGCTTCTCAATAATTTTTGCTGAAGTGGGTATAAGCGCAATGGGACGGTAATTATTGAAATCCAAAGAATCACCACCTTTATAAATAGGGATAATTATTGAAGTTTCCAGAATAGCTGGAAAAATACCCTTTCTGAACGATTCTTTGATGAGGATTATTGTACCGATAATGCTGAGTCGGGGAGATATATAAAAACATTTGCGAATATTTCATCAATTCCAGCTGTATTTTTTTCTTTATTTTCATTATAACCGATTTCCGACTCGAGTGAATTGATAACTGCGAACAATTGTTTTACTCGCAGATGCTACGAATGCCTGTAGACAGCTCCAGGAACACTAGCCCAACATTTGGCTTAGACCAATCAGGTGACATGTTGGAGAAGAGGGGATGTATTGAAGTGGCAAGAAATTCGCACTCGAAATTTCTGGAGGTTTCGTCTTCGTGGACACATCTTTATCATTCATCACAAGAAGGACATAATATAGTAGAGAAAAAAATTGATAGTGCAATTTTAATAAATAAGAAAAATCTCAAAACAGAAAATGTTTGTCAAAGAAAAAATTTAAGTACAGCGTTCATACTCAACAAAAACAAAAAAGAATAATGACATAAGTGAACCTTCAATACTGATACAGAGGCTGCAATAAAAAGTTGTCTATTATTTAATTTCAGGGTCTAAAATTGAAGAAACAACGAAGCACCGGCGATCTGGAGAAGAGAGGCGGCTCCGGCAGCATCCGATCTACAGGGTCTTCGGCGTCCTGGGTCAGCACCGATTCTGCGCAGTCGGGCGTCACGAATGCGTCCATACCGTCCGATTCCAATGCTAGTTTCGTTATAGAGGTATTGAACCAGCGCTATTATTATCCATCACGCTCTGAACTCTAAACTCTAAAGGAATCTTTGATACGCGCGCCAAATGAAAAAGCATCACTGGACGTTTGATATGCTCGCGAAATGAACACGTTAAGACGTTGTATTTATATTCCTATGACAGTAAGTTCTGCTTACTAGTCAATAGATATTCTAATCGTTTGGTGAACAGTAACAAAATTCATGGATACCTACAGATATGATTTTGAACGACGTATACAAATACCTAGTATATATCCGACGATCAATGATATATTGAAAAAACACAACAATCCAGGCAACACAGAACCCCTACAGAAGAATGGAAGTGAAACATTGATCATTGAAAACTTCATTTTGATATCTCTAACTGTTTCCTAGATACACCCAAAGAATCAAAATCGACAACATCCTATGTAGAGAAGACATACAGATTTCAGGTGTCGATACACTCCTCTCGTAAGGATACATACCGTGTTTTCATGCAGAGTTAAAATGTTTGTAATCATACTCTGCTTCAATGTGTGAATTTTTGCATTGCAATATGATTATCTCTATAGATGGGGTATTCTTGAATCACCTGATAGTAAGTTCTGGAATAGTAGATACTGAAAATTCAGAAGGATATGGAAAGGAACAAAAAGGTGGTGAGAGAATTAATCCCAATCCGACAAGCTCGACGTCGTGCCTCTAGGATTCTCAATGAAATAATTCATGTAATAATCAATTTATTTCAATAAGATCGAAAGTAGGCGTTTGCTTTTCAATTAACTCCTACGGGAAGAAAATATATAAATTAATTGGCTTCAGCATGCATCCTTGGTGTCGATTTACTTATAAGATCCGTGCAATCTAAGTAATCAGTATCTTCATCACTATTATGAAACAAATGATCATTTCCTCCCTTGTGTGTTAAATGCCCTGTGCTACTCGCCGGGCAACAAACTTCACACGCGGGAAGATATGGATACCTTTGCTCCCTAGATAAAACAATAGCTTCTTCGGCTTCTTCGTGCAATCGTACTCGAAGAGACTATTTCGCGTTCTCTATACACAGTACGCGAAGTTAAACTTCGCAGCAGTTACCCATAGCAACGGCCGTCAAACCAAAATGTCACGTCCGAATAATACACGACAATAACGAGGTTATTCAGCAGTGTCAGATCGAATTTTCGCTTTGTCAAGAACTGTCGAAATATTTTGTATACTTACATTCGAAGATGTCACCATTCCAACGCTTTGAATTTATTAAATAAATTGAGTTGCTGTTGATTTGAAAGCAATAATCAAATTTGTGATTATCTAGTTCAATCATTTTGACGACTGAAATATAGTGTGTATTCCATGACTTCGAATCTTTTGGGCGATCTCAAGATTATCTTGCCCTCTGCCGAAATCGTTCTCGGCGATGAATTTTCGTTTGTCACGCCAAAAAGGTAGGTATTTCGCGACCTATAGGCATACAATAACTATTTATATATCGAGGTAGCGAAGTTTGATTCCCGACGCCTAGCGGAGGTCACTAAATTTATGACTTTATCCACGAACGCATATTTCTGAGAGCGTCGTTCTTAGAATTGTGCTTCCAGCGGTCTATCTCTCAAGTCTCGATCCAAATCAATGTGTCACATTGAATTTTGTTGGTTGGAACCCAGTTGAAGCCAACATATTTTACCATCCACGGGGGTTATTTTTTTCTACGTGGGGTAAATTGACAGGTTTGTGAGCCTTCTTCACAAAAAGTTATGTTCTGTTTCAGGACGAGACATTGGATCCGAGCGTGGTGGAAACGTACATGGGGGAGTGGAAGAACGACAAAAGAAGTGGCTACGGCATAAGCGAACGCTCAGACGGTCTCCGCTACGAAGGCGAATGGTACAACAACAAAAAGTACGGCTACGGAGTGACGACGTTCAGCAACGGCGAGAAAGAAGAAGGCAAATACAAGAACAACGTACTGATAACCAGCCAAAAGAAAAAGCTCTTCCTGATGCGGAGTGCCAAGTTCCGAGAGAGGATAGACGCCGCAGTGAACGCTGCCCAGCGAGCATCGAAGATAGCCCTGCAAAAGTCCGACATAGCCATTAATCGAACGGCGACTGCGCGAGGCAAAGCGGAGCAAGCGGACATAGCCGCAGCGCACGCGCGGGAAGACTCGGACATAGCGGAAGGCGTGGCCAAACAGTACGCGCCTGACTTCAAGCAGCCCGGCTTGGAACGACTGAAAGCTAGGCAGAACAAGTACCGCGAGATGCAGCTGCAAAACCAGAGCCTAGAGCAGAAGCCAAATGTGAATTCCTCAGACCAAATACCCAATAAACTTCCCAATCAAATTCCGAACCAGATTCCGAACCAAATACCCAACAAGGTCAACCAGATGCCCAACCAAATTCCAAACCAAATTCCGAACCACAACCAGAACAATCCGTACTCGCAAGGGCAGCATCAGCTGCACAACGATACCAGTCCGGCTGCTAACAAACCCAATAACCCCTACGGCAACCCACCTCTTAACAACCCCTACAACAACCCCAACAATCCTTCCGTGCCAATGAACGAGTTCAGGCCCCAGTTGGGAAACAACCCTGGCGAGAACAACTCCGGGCACGAATTCAATTCCTCGCCGAACAAGAGAAATTCGATCGCTGGCGAAGACAATCCGGGTAGCAATTCGTTGAGGAGAATGTCCAGAAGAGTTTCCGGCGATAGGCCGTATTTGGGAAGTATAGGACAGCAATCTTCCATTGATCATTTCGATCATTACAAGAGGCCGCCTAGTAGGGACTCAAGTGTTGACAGGTGAATCAGTTATTGTGGATCAGTAAATCTTCATAAAAGTCTTGTACATGAAAATGTTGGGATAGTGAATTTATATCTGAGTCCTGAACTTTGATGCCCTTCTGCTCTTTGTTAATCTCAACAAGGTGATTGTAGTATAGGAGCTAGAACGAAGATGAACTATAGCAAGAAAAGGGTCTGATGGAATGATTACACAGCTGTAGTTGGTGACTGAACTATCTGGAAAATTGCAATTGCAACTTCCTCTTTAAACAAGCCTGGCGGTATTGGCTACTTATTCATCCTAGATATTTCAGTCACAACATTCTGATGACAAAACTGACAGAGAAAATAATTCAGAAATCGGATTATAGCTGATTTTCATCACGAGTATTTCAAGGATATCATTCTGAGTCACTCATATTCAATATTCACGCTCACGGTTTCTAATTCAATGTTGGTAAACCACTATAAAATTTTATTGACAAGCTATGCCGACGATAAAAATATTAATACGAGGATTTATATGAAAAAAACTGTTGGAAATATCACGAATAATATTGCTCAATGTTTTGAAGAAAACACTCTTCAATTGAACACAATCGAAACATAAGAATTAGATAACTGCTATGTGGCAAACTAAGTAGATCAAATTTCATAAAATTAAATATTTCAACATTACAACATAACAATACGAATATGGAGTTTCTTTATAAAAACAAGCACTTGTTCGATGATAATATTGATATAGATATCTATAGAAATAGAAATAAATATATTATGAGGACTGCCTCTGTAAGTGTCTAGAATTATAATTAATTGACAAATTACATGAAGGAATTCAGGATTTTCATAGTTTTGAGAAGGTTATTAAGAAAGTATAAGTCACTACAAAACACTATCGTCTCGAAGAAAACAATCAAATGACATTCAATAGCTGATTTTCAAATAAGTTTCTTATTCGTTGACTCATATCGATCAATTTCGCGCATAGGTATTTTTTTTCTATGATTTTTCTTGATGAAGAATGCCCCTTGTCAATTTGACTTATATCACACACAATTATTCTATTTCATTTTGGAGATTCTAGGAACAAAAATAGTAAAAAAAATCACTAAATGAATCAGGAATCATCTAATTTCGCCTCACATGAATATCTCAATGCTTTTTTTTGGAAAATGAACACTGCCTTGAATTGATATTCACTACATATTCCCCAAAATGGCTAACCATATCTGAAGTGAGACTCGACAAGAGCATAATACGCACCTCGGGCTGGCCTAGTCCCCAATTCATTCGCTATGACTCTAACCGCATGGATTCCACTTGAAATTTTATTTTTAATGTATTGAATGTGATCTCCCCATTTCAGTTGTCCACCTATTCCAAGTCCCAGGAACTTATTACCGCCTTTATGTTCTATAATTTCGTTTTAGACTCTTGAAGTTTGTATAATGCATTTCTGATATTGAAGGTGGCTTTATCTGCTGCTTACCATTCTGTGACTAAGGAAAGATCATGATAAATACCTTCAAATAGGTTCTGTTTCCGCAACTCTCTTATTTATGTAATTTTCGGCAGTTTGAACAGGATATCTGAAAATATCATTATTTTTATTTAAAAATGGTACGTACACTTGTTCAGTTCAGATCGCACTCACCATTTTCGAGATAGATCAATTTCAAAGGTCTGCTGAGTAATAGAAATAGTTATTCGTCTTACTTGACAGCAAAGTTCATAGCCGAGCGTAGCGAGACTGAGAATTCAGCCAAGGCAGTCAATCTACATTATTTGCTGCCGTGTGAAGCATAATTTTTTCTCCAAATGTTATAAGACAAATGTTGTTCATTGAAACCTCCATCTCCAATCTGTGGTTAAAACCTTTCTTTGTAATTTCGGGACACCTTGTATAGTTCGTACTAACGTTCCAGGTACTCTAGGGCAACCGGCCGCCTCAGCAACACCATGACCTCCAGACAACCCTCGGTCGACCGCTCCTCCAACCACCGGCTAGCCGACACCCCCGACCGCACCCTGCGCGCTCCCTCCGCCCTCCGGGGCGCCTCCCCTGTCCCTCCCAACGCTCCCACCGCCACCAGGAACGGCGCTGTCCTCACCGGCGCCGCTGCCAAGTTGGCGGGCAACCCTGGCACGCCCCAGGTACCGCCCTTCGAGGATATCATCCTGAGGAAGCGGGGATTGGGGCAGGACATCGTGCCGTCGCCGAACCAGCCCAAGAGGACGGAGAGCCTGTTCATTCCTGGCGGGGACAAGCCACAGGCTATGAAGGTCAACGTGAATCAGGTGAGCTTCCATGAGATTATGAATAGAACCGTGAATCAGGTTAGCTTCCGTGAGATTATGAATAGAACCGCGATTTTTCATGAAATATTAGTTAATGTTACCACAGCATCCGTTCAGATCTAACCGGTTAATTTTCCATTCCTTCAACTGCCCCAGCAGCCCGACGTCTAGTATGGAAGAAGAAGAAACGTTCCCCTCATGTTTTACTCCGAGTTTCCTTAGCAGAGAATGAGCTTTGATTTGACATCATCATATTTATACCTAATTTATCGAAAATACCATAATCTACGAAACCCTGATGGTGCAACAAGAACTGTTCTGAGAGCTGTTGCCTTGAAACAAACAGCCTACCATCGCTGGTGCAAAAAAATCTAACCTCGTGACTATGTTGAAACCAGGAATTACTGCAGCCAAACGACTGATGCATTAAAAGAAACATAATACCAAAATAAGATCGATACTCATAGATTGTTCAAATGGCTCCCATCGTTTTGGTCCCTCGCTAGAGCAGCCTGTGAAGGAATTTCACTAATAGTTCATTTCATAGCAACAACATCGCAAGAGATTGTTGAAAAGGAATATTCTCAGATAAATTATGAACATACAAAAATGGATATATATATATATATTTATATGAAGCAATACATTGAGAATTCGCATTCTCTATGTGATGAGAATATCTACTAAGTTTATTCAATAGGAAACAACTACTTTCCTGGCTATATGCCACGTCGAACATTGAATAATATCTATTGAACACACACGAGATGAGAGTTTGAAAATAAAATATAAAAACTTCTGGAATTGAGAATTTGCATTCTCCTTCAGACAAAAATACGTATATGCACACATCATTCTGAATATTCAACAGAAAACAACTACTTTCCTGGCTATTTGGCACGTGGAACATTGAATTATATCTGATGAATATTCGAAAGGAGTACATGAAAAATAAAAAATAAAATCCTCCGAAATTGAGAATTGACATTCTTCTTCTAATCGGATGAATAATATGATGTATAATGATATAGAAATATACCTTACCAATATATTCTGTTCTCAATGTCTATATTCAGTCAGCTAGTGACTAAAGAGTTTGTGGCCTAGAGATATTCAAACTTTGTCAGGATTTGTTGAAATTTTTCAGGTCCTACTGTTCAATTAGCATGGTTTAAACTTAGTAAACGTAAATGCCTTTAAACATCTCCATTTATAAATGAAAATAACTAGGTACATCACGAATTGAGAACATGAAATCTATGGAAATGGGTGTATAAAAAACATAACATGAATTGAATAATTCCTTGCTGGTAGTAACCAGGAAGCTAGAATGGTTTTATTTACAATTCATCTTGCGACCTAACCATTGTCATTGGAACCTCAGCTGCAAGAAGAAGCTATCAATGGAAAGAAAGATTTAGACTGAAGCCGTAACCAGTCAGGACTGCGGCAGGACAAAATATAAGGAAAATAGTAGGGTTGTATTTGTGTATTTTCAACACAACACAACACAACAGAGCGGTAGAAGCACAACTGGTCAGAAGAAATAACACCAGTCCATGTCCTATGCCACAACGATACTGAGAACCTTCTGTCTATGTGAGAAGTAACTCAACAGCACTAAGTTCCATTGAGCCGATATAACATACATTGCGACCTAAAAAATTTATTGTTTTTCCTTCTTTTGTTATACCCGATGGGTTTTTTCTCCGTAGCTATAGCAATTTCTCTAGACCTTTAACCCTCAGAGATTTCAGGTATGGTAGATGCTCCTCCTCTATCATGTGTACTCCTATAGGATTCTCTCCCATGGGTTCTGTATGGTGACACATTCAGTAAATAAGTAGATAGAGGTTTGCTCTTTCTCCCAGCATAACCTGTATTCGTCTAAGCCAAGCTTTCTTAAATATCCTTTGAAAAAACCATAACCTACTCTCCTAAGGGTGTTCTTCAAACATTATAGGGATTCCCTTTCGTGATGTGCTCCAACAGATGAAAAAAACATGCAGTTCCCTGTTAGAGGTAATGAATCTACTGTGAAAGGCAACGCTAGAGAGCATATTATTATTCTAAAACAATTGGCTGGGTGTCCGGGTTTTCCGAGGGGTTTTCGTACTAAACTTCGTATATCATGAACATGATATCAATTTCGTAAGTATACGGAAGAATTTACAATGAAACGGAAATGGTGGCAGGAGCTCAACAAGTAAAATCAAAGATTTGTGATCCCAACATGTATACCAACTCCAATTAGTAGAAATTCATCTTAAAGAGAACATATCAGTGCCAAATTGGCATTAGACTAGGTGACTCTTCCATTTCTAATTTGGAATACAGTATCGTGCCACCGATTTGGAGCAAATAGAAATAATTTTCTAGGACAATTGTGCTCGAAACCCATCCTAAAATTGAACAAACAACGAGATCCGCCTGCCAACAATAATTTTTCAGATTTCCGCTCAACTTTTACATAACCCGATGAGTCAAAAATCCGTATCGGCAAAATAAAAGCCCGCGACGTCAGATGACGAATGGCCGTCTCTTTGGGTGGGGACGGCGTCTAAAATCGTCCCAGCTAGCGTCGGTGAAATAATTATATTGCCGATGCCACAGTGATCGTCGTTCGGTGGAAAAGCCGCGTGAATTTTCCTTGTCTCGGTCATGTTGTGGTATCAGGGCGACGACGACGAAGATGAAAACCTTATGTTTTCGCCCGCTCTTTTGGCAAGACGGGCTTCCGAGAGCTGGATAGATACTCCACCAATTGAGGTTAGGATCCCCTAGCTCCAGCATCCCTGCGGATGAGTACGATAGTGGCAGATAGTTTGTTTGTCCTCCAGCTCTTAGCGATAGTTTATTTTTAGTTGGTTTCGCTATTTAACAGCGCCAAATTTTGTCCTATTGAGAATTGTTGGAACGCTTCCACTATCCATGCCGGTTTGTTATTGATGAATATTGATATATTGAGCAATGAATGAATACGATGGTGTGCTATGGATTATAGTTTATCATAACAGGAACATCTACAACACATATTGATTGGAAATAGGGAGAAGTTAGAGAAAAATGTGTTACAGCTGTTGTTTTTTATGTATAGAACATGTCTGGCTCATGATCAAAGAATTCGCAATCTGATATGTGTCAGCAACGATTTTGCGTTAATGTATTCATGGGTTTTTTCAACTACGATTATATAAAATATCCTCTTTAGGATTCCAAATTCCTAAGTCAGAAGTATGAGGTGCTGATTGATAGCGTCACTTCCAGCTCACCAATAAAGATCGCAATATAGAACAACTTGAGGTAGCATGGGATTTAATAAACCTAGTAGGAGTGATTCATTGTGAGTTTCTTGTTTCCAATTCAAATTCTATTGGTCAGCGAGGTGAAGGAGAGGGGAATGGCAGGTGGCAGTCGGATATACAGGGTGTTTCAGTTTTTTGTAGCAGGACTTTAACAGCTTGAAGAAAACATTTTTTCAAGATGAAAATCTCAATCAAACATATATGCGTGGGAGCTTCGTTTCCGATTTACAGGGTGTCAAAGTTTCAGATTTTTTTTATGTTTTTTGAATTTTCTCCTACAATTTTCGGAATAATTGATTGAAATTTGATACACTCAATATACTTCAAAAACTCAATATTTGAGGCTATTGAGCGTTTTTGTATACCTACAGGGTGATAGACTTTCAGGGGTCGTACCCAATTTAACCCTGTAGAACTTTTTTGCGTGCTGCCTCTGCTTTCAATGGGACATAGATTCAGATTGTCTCTGCAATTTGGAAACTTTTTGCCCCCATGTATGTTTTTCGAGTCCGAACCACTTCTAAGGGTACCTACTGATAAAATTAGAATTGCCGTTCACGAGATTGAATTATTAAAACTAACGTTAGAAGCGACCAGTCCCTGATATCGAAAGTTCAACCAGTTTCAGTTATACAGGGTGTCCTTGAAATTTCTACAATACAATTTCAGATTTCGCAATCCAGTTAGAGAAGTTTTTTCAAAATAAAAACATTTTTTCTTTGTTTTTCCTAGTTTTAATTATAATCGTGTTTAAATAATTCGATCTAATTTTGCAACTGAATTTCATTTGGCATGGAAGGTTTTGGTCATTCGATTTCCCAACAAAATGTTTGTGAAATGTAAAATAAGTGTGTTCGAGAAATAACGGTTTTATAACGAGTAATTTATTTTTGGCGGCATTTATCTCGAGACCCATACAGTTTTCGTAAAATTTACATAGAGGCAAAAAGTTTACAAATTGAAAGGACAATCTGTATCTATGTCCCATTGAAAGCAGAGACGGCACGCAAAAAAGTTCTACAGGGTTAAATTGGGTACGACCCCTGAAAGTCTATCACCCTGTAGGTATTCAAAAACGCTCAATAGCCTCAAGTTTCAAGTTTTTGAAGTGTATTAGGTGTACTAAATTTCAATCAATTATTCCGAAAATTGTAGGAGAAAATTCAAAAAACAACTAAATCTGAAACTTTGACACCCTGTAAATCGGAAATGAAGCTTCCACGCATGCATGTTTGTATGAGATTTTCATCTCAAAAAATTGTCTTTTCCAAGCTGTTGAAGTCCTGCTACAAAAAACTGAAACACCCTGTATAATGAAGATGTGTTAGCCCAATGAATTAAGAATCAACCTATATCACAGTTTTTTCCAAATAATGTTTATACTCCCAACAGATCATTGATATGGAGTAGGAAAAATGTTGGTGCCAAAATTGATCCTTGTGGTCTCATGACAAAAAACCGAGAGCTATAATCAAATATTTTTCCCGTGTATATTATACACTATTTTTTTCCCGAGACAGAACAGAGGACGAATCAATAATGAGAAGATACTACATTCTATTAAAATCAGAAAACAATCGACGTAGAATTTAAATTTCATATCTGAAATTACATCTGCGTTGCATGCATCTTTTTGCAAGCATCCTTGTCATTCTTCTGAAGTGATCAAATGTCTGTCGGTCTAATTCTGTGATTCGATTTTGAAAAATTGCCAACTTATAGTGGTTGTTTAGTAATTCAGGTAATCGCGAAGTGGAATTGAAGATAAATCGACTTACTTGGCACCATGAAAGCTTATACAAGGGGGTTATAAATAAAAACAATCAATACTTCCAACTTCAACATCCTGTATGTCAAAAATGGAGCAAGTTAGGTCGCATGTTTATATGAACTCTATTTGCAATATTACAAGGAATCACCCCTGAATAACTGGAAAAAAAATACTCACTTTTTTCCCGTGGGAAACTAGTTATTTGTTTTACTAGGCAGCAAAGTAGTAGATCAACTGCCGCGGCTGATACTTTGTAGCCAAGCGTAGCGAGGATAGAAATTCAGTCAAGGAAGTCAATCTACATTTGCAGCCGTGTGAAACATATACTTTTGTCTCCAAATATCATAAAACTAATTTTGTGTAATATTTTATTGATTACCAATTTCTTTCAAATTACGGCCTAGGCAGAGAGAGTACACCTGTCCTGCATGATAAGTGTCGAGAAAAGCCACTTTCTATGACGCTTGGTGAAAATTAGTATATTGTTTAACGAGCACGGAATGATAGTGATTTCCTACGAGAATAAAGTTTACAGCATGAGCCATAGGCGAATGCTGCAATCATTCGAGTAGGAAATTAGCATTCCGTGCAAGTTATACACTATAATTTTTCTACGGCTGCAACAGATTACAACTGCATTTTGGATTTCTTCGACTTGTAGCCATCTGATTTCCTGTCAAGTTATGCTCATCTATTAGACAGAGCTGTCATTGCTTGCAATTTGATATTCCATGGGCGATGAGATTTTTTTTGAATAATAACACAATGGAGTCATTGTGATATCCGATACGGGAATAAAATTGATGACATACAAAGTACCTCATTGATGTATCGAACACAGTGAAACAAGAGCAATTTTGTGTTATAGCCGTAGAAAATGATAGATTGTTTTCTTAGGATATAAATTGACACTTTGTTTGACAAGCGAATTTTGCATTTTGGAGCCATTTTGAGTCGTGGGAAATAACGGTGGTACATGTACGACATATTTTTTCGAGAGGAACGTCATGTTGTACTCATCGAAAATTTTCTGACACCTGTCGATCGAATAGTTAATTTTGAAAATTTCTGAATTCCGAAAAATAGATGGTGGCAACTGAAAAGCGACCCAAAATTAGTTTAGAAAAAATTATTCGAAATTTTTGTGTGACACTGGAAGAAGTGCCAGTAGTGAAACGACAGCAATATTTGTGAAAAATCACTTTGACACCGAATGGAACGCTAGATAATGATGATAAAATATGTTATAGGCCTAATCTATCTTGTATATAAATACAATCACAGAGTGACATATTTGTGTATGGACCAGGTGCTCTGCTAATGGCAAATACCGCGCCAGTGCCAGGTATAGGAACAGGACGTAGAAAATGTTAGGTTAGTGAGCATATCCACAATGATAATAGCGATTATTTATTTCTCTCCATACTCCACTGTGTTTGGCTTGATAATCAGAGGAGGTAAACAATATCGTTGTTTGAGACAAAAAACTATTGCTGGCCGTGATTATTCGAAAACAAGTTATCCATTCCGAGAATAAACGAATGAAATACAGATCAAGCAAGTATGTGAATCTTAAAGGCTTGCTCGATCAAAACAAAAATACTCAACTATAATAAGGTGTAGAGTGAATTGGGTGAATATGCCGCACTGGCTTATATGCCGCAGTTTGCTATTTTCGCTTCAAGTCAACATTTGGCAACAATGTTCATTCAGCCATATTAGTGTTGGACAGAAAACACCGGTGAATTGTGAGCAAATTGAAAATGTTAGTTTTTCTGTGCATAACGTTAATAAAAAGGTAAGGACCGTGTCAAATATGTTTTAATGTCAAGTTATATATTGTGGTTATGGAAGTTCTAAGTAGATTTGGCCAACTTCAATAGGAGTATGCCAAAGTATGATTCATTACCTTACTTTTTTGGCGGATGATGCAATATGGGGTATTATGCATCTTAATTTTTCAAGTGCGTATTACCCTTGCTTTTTTTGTTTCGGATGCCTCGTAGTTTTTTTCGGAAAAACGTAAGAGCTTTATGGTCTGAAGAAGATCTTCGTAATGCTATTGAAGATCTCAGATATGGTAGAGGATTTGTTCGCCAAATTAGCCGTACGTACAACGTTCCTGTCCGTAATTTGGTGAGAAGAATGCGGTCTGGAAACCTCAGCAAAGAAGAATTAGGCCGTAAATGTTGTCTAACTTTAGATCATGAAGAAAGTTTGGTGAAATACATACAATCTATGGAACAGCATAGGGAGTCAGAATTGGAGTACGATGGATCAGAAAATTGTGAAAACTATTTTGATAAAAAAGGTCCAAAATGTGATTGGTTTCAATGTGTGAAATGTGATCATTGGGTTGACGAGATATGTACCCCATCGAACATGTATTGTGCAGATTGTGTTCCAGATCAATTACCAAGTATACCGCTACAGCTCTGGAGCCACAAGAGTTTATATAATCTATATATTATGCTTTGTTCTATAATAAATGAAGTTTTTTTTCAATTTCATAAAATAGTTTATTATTTCTTACGAGGATAGCATGTTGCCATATAACCCAACGTGTGATGCTATATTACCCATGATATGGGGTGATATGGCAATAGGGTAATACTATGCATTTTTCCTTGTAATATTTTGCTTTGTGGGAAGATGGCAACGAGCGACTCTAGACACATAAATATATTGTTTAAGCTTTAACGTGTAGCCTTCGCCTTCCAGCTAGGCGCGATGGTCATTACATTGTGAGCATTTGAATTTTATGTTGCCATATTACCCCACTTTACTCTAATTAATGAAAAATGACATTCAAGAACCTGTGAACAGAGATAGAATGTCAACACTTTTTTCCCGTAACAGGAAAAATTTCATTTGTGGTAACTACCCTTCAATCTGTTTTTCCCTCGTTCCAGAACCTGGCGACACAGACGTCGCTGCAGCGTAAGAAATCCCTACCAGACGTGCAGGACCTGCCCCGCTCGACGGGCGCCATGTCGCGCGAAGAGGTGTCCTACTTGGGCTCGGCGCGGCGCGAGGAGGTGCGCCGGCAGCACGACGAGCACGAGCGGCTGCGCGCCAATCCGCTGCTCTACCTCGTCAGTCCGCAAGTCAAGGTAGGCGGGCTCGGGGCGTGCTGATGGGAATTCACATTCACCGGACTCCCGTGTAGACGAGCGAATTCACAGACACCGTACTTCCGTATAGGCGAGAATTCACATTCACCATACTTCCGTATAGGCGAGAATTCACTTTCACCGTACTTCCGTTTGAGCGAGCTTTCGTGTCTTCAATCAAAAATGTTAGCCCTCAGTGATCCAATGATCATATTTCACTCAGACCGAATTCTAACAACGATGAATTGCGGTATCAATGCATATACTTACCTATCAGAACGATTCAAGCTATTGCGGTGAATTCTAATTTCTGTATCCTTATCAATAAAATTATTGTTATCAACACTTTTTGCGTGAACAAATATATTTCATTACTCAATGATGGAGAAGATACCGTGTCCACTTATTATTAGTTCACTACAGAATTTGTTATTATATTGAGGGAAAATATCCTTTAGATATTCAAGAAATAAAGGAATTCCACCACAAAACAGGTTCATAACTAATAACAGTCTTTACAGTGTTCATCACTGAAAAAACAACACGTAAAAATTGATTTTTGTCCGTTAACCATGTAGAGGATGAATAACCATTATTCACTGGCCTAATAGTATATTATTCAACAAGCATATAATGAGGGCTATTATTCACGAATGTTAAATTCATGTCACGAGCGTAACGAGTGGCATAATTAACCTGAGTGTATAATTGCTCATTATATGCGAGTAGAATACTATACTGTGTCTACGCGACTACTATTGTCAATGATATATAAAATAATTTTTAACAACTGTTCTATCATAACTCATTTGACATAAAGAAATCTATAAATTGGAGGTACCTGGTATATTAATTATTTTTTCACGGTTGTACTTCCTCAAGCAAAACGATAGCCATTTTCCACACTAGTGAATAATAGCGGTGAATAACTATTATTCACTGGTCTAGAGTTCCTTTCATGTTATATCGCGTACCCTAGGAACTTCAGACCAGTGAATCATGGCTATTCACTGCAATTATTCACTGGTGTGAAAAATAGCTATCGTCTTGCTTGAGGAAGTACATATATTATGAATATATTATACAACAGTCGTGGATGAAGTTCCTCATACGTTATATCGTTAGGAACTCTAGACCAGTGAATTATGGTTATTCACAACTATCTTTCACTGGTCTGAAAAATGGCTACCGTTTTGCTTGAGGAAGTACAGTTGTGTGCATTAACAAGTCGTACAAGGTTAGTATGGTGTAAACATGTCTATGATATTCCAGAATTCATTAAAAATTAGTACATGTACACATTTGCGCGTTTCTGGCAAAAATAGTTTGAAGATTGACAAGCATGAGTCACAATAATAGCCTATAACTCCTATACGACTTGTTTATGCACACAACTGTACATGTATTATGAATAATTTATACAACAGTCGTGGATAAAAGCAAATAAAATGACTCTTCAGATACTATGAATAGACTCTGATTTTCTGATTATTATTTTTTCCAATTCCAACTGTAACGTCAGCGGCATTCAACTTTTTTTCAAATGGCATTGATCGTTCTGATTGGTCTGTACACAGATCTCCTACATGGAAGTAAGGAAAATATGCAATATTTTGCATAGATACGGGGATTTTCGCCGCCAGTAAAGCGCAAATTTTGAGGTTAATCAGGACTATATCAACTTTAGTCTGTGTTGTGTCAATTTTTGGTAACTGCACCATCGAATTTGAGTATTGGTATCAGTTTCATCCTCCAAACACTGAGAAATGTTAGCACTACAGAAGTTGCTAGAGAACACCACTTTTTCTTGTGGCCGAAAGGTTAAGTGAAATATTCAAATAATTACACTTTTCGAATAGCTTGATATACAGAGGTTGTTTCAAAATTATTTTTCAGGTCAAAATGAGACTTTTTTCCTATGAGTTTGTGTCCGCACACGTTTCGTTTCCGATATACAAAGCTTTGAAGTTTCAAGTTTCTTTTTATTTTCAAACACCACGCTTATTGAAAAAAAAAAGAAGTTCGTTCGGTTTCTTATCCTCCAGGTTATGTTTCGAAACTTGTAATTAAGATAACAAACGAAATATGTAGCGATGTTTGTTTCAATTGTGCTGATATATAGGTTCCTCCCTTTTCAAAAATATTAGTTAAATCTATAGTAAATTACAAAAAATTGTTTTTTTCTCGATAATAGTTGGTTTTTCTTTCGAAAATTAGAACGAAAATGTGATTCTTTTTGAAGAGGTTGACGAAAAAAAGTTTAAGAAGCGAAAAAAGAAAAAAGGCTTATCGAAGACTGAAAAAATATCTTCCTGTTGATTTTCACAATCATTCAACATACTGCATGATGTGATCATTAAAACGTAACCTATGTTTCGAATTCGATCTGAATATCTCAAAAACTAAAAATGAAAAGAAAAAAAAAAGAAAACCTTGATTTTTAACGCTCTGTAGATCACTAACGAAGCGTTCGCGGACATATGTTTATAGGAATAAAAACTCTTGAATTGGTTTAAAAAATAAGCCCCTGATATCTTGATATCTGTATATCATAAAACAAAGTAACTGAGCAGCGAAAACATTTTAGAAATGAGATTTTTAAAATTGAAAATCCTATACCTCCATTACAAATATAGTAACATTCTAAAATTCACCATAGTTAGCCAATATCAGTTTGGGCTATATTTTTAAAATCACTTTGAATCATCATTCCAAGTGAGAGGTATCTAAATGATTCTTTCTGAATATTTCTACTCCCAAATAATGTAGAGCTACGGAAGAAAATATCAAAGTCTATAAATTCTATATCATTTCGATCCTCTCTCTCTCAAAAAACTATAAGCATCCTTATTTCTTGTCTAGACTATCAAACATTTAAATATACCACAGTAAATATTCTCATTCTAAATTTATCATGCTATGATTAATGGTAAATGCAGTGATTTATATCTCTGCTTTGAATGTTTATATTACGTTACGGAAAATAATCTCAATTCTTAATTATGCACTTACAACATTAACTCAACCCTGAAAATTGTTTCCGGAAGGATATAAACAAGCGCAATATATCAATAAAAAAAATAGAAATATCAGTTATAAATTATGATCAACATTTATATACATGTAAAACTTACTACAAAATTTGCAATTAATTATGCAACCGACTGCAGCAGCTACAATTACAGTCAAAGTGTTTTGATTCTATCAGCTGTCAAATAGGGATGTAGTTAATATTCCATAGTCGCTAAAACTTTCTCCATTTCGAATCCTGATGATACAGGGTCTCTCTAAATGATCGTAACATATCGTAGTGGCTGTTGACATTTCTTCACATTTGCCGCTTCATACTAATGCTGTCAACAATATTGAAACGGCCAAAAAGAGAGGAAGTAATCATATACAGGATCTTTTTTACATGGTTTTGTATACATGCACTGTGTAAATTGGTAATGTATCTTAAAGAGAGGCGAATACAACATTGGAGTTTGAAAAATAATGGAACAATTCGAAAATATTCTTCAAAAAAGTAATAAATAACGGTTTATTTCATCAACCTACATTATATGTTCAAAACGTTCTCAGTTGTTCTAAAAACATTTCATAACTCTTCGCCATTTGTTGTCAAAAAAGTTCCTCAACAATTACGGACCAATATTTTGCCATCAATATATTATTGAGGCTTGCAGCTCTTCATTAAGGTAATTATTGTCTTTCTTGAATACTTCGTCAGTCAAATTCCAAAAGAGCAAATCTGGAGAACGTGTTGGAAAGAAGAATTGATTCCGCGACTTGATGAATGGTTCCAATATCACTTGTCTGTACCTTCCACCATTGATAGTGCCGTGGAAGAAAATCGGTCCATATATTCGCCTACGAGAAACTGCTAACCACACCCGAATTTTTTGAGAATGTAGTGGAGTCTCAATGAAATAGTTGGGATTGTCAGAACTCCAAAATCTAAATTTCTGTGAGTTTGCGTATCCCAACAAATGAAACCAGGCCTCATCAAGTCATCACTAACAAATTTGAGGTGCAATAATGGTCATCGTTTTGAGATTATTTTGGAACCATTGGCTTAACTCTAGACGACGTGGGATATCTATGAGCAGAAGTTGCTGTAGTACATTGGTCTTGTAAGGGTGCATATGCGATCTCTTCTTGAGCACTTTATGGCACACCAAATTGTAAAGATAATCTCTTCAAAGACCTTTGGGGATTTTGCTCAACACGCGGCCTTAGATTTTTGACAACTTCTTCCCTAATATGAGGCCTTCCTGCTGATTTCTTTTTATTGACGTTTCCAGTTTAGATGAATCTGTTGATAACTGCTCTGATGTGGGCTTTCAAAAGAGATTCTTGAATCTTTACATTAGGATACCTCGCCATTTACTCATCTCAATATTGCAACGGCTACTACGATGTTATGATTTTGTTTTGTTTGTTCTAAAATTTGTTCTATCCGTCATTCGGTTGCCCCCTTACGAGCAACCCTCAAAAGTTTTCGAAAGTCTTGTGCGAGCAAGGAATGACGGGGGCCTTACCTTTTAACGTGTGATCCCAAACATTTATAGAAACCCTGTATTCACAATGATAAGTAGGTACTTCATAGAGTATACGTTTTCTGAACTCATATTATGTATAAACTTCACAAACTATAAGATTTCCACAAAATTCTTAAGCACACAACATGTTTCGCTAACACAGTAGCTTCGTCCTCAGGTGATATACTGGTACAATAAACTAAACCAACCTTGGTTTGCTCAACTCTAATGCATCCTACTTTCCCAACTTGAAGGATTAGTAGAAACAACAAACTCAAAAATTTTGACATTTTACTCAACGATCAATTAAACCTCAATAGTTCAGCACTGTTGAATTTCTTAGTAGGTGATAATATGTATTTGCTATCAAACCTTTCAAGTTAATCCGTTACACTGGGAAAGTAGGATATATAAAAGTTAAGCAAGCCAAGGTTGGTTTAGTTCATTGTATCAGTATAT